CGGTCTTCCTGGCCCAACCCCCTTCTTGCTGCCAAAGGTTCCTATCTAGATCCGCCTTTGGATTCTGTTCCTTGATAATCTACTTTATGACTCTTATCTGTACCACTCGAAGTCCAAGAAATCCATTGGATTCCACTTCTCCATCTTCTGCTCCTCTCAGGGGTCGTTTACTGTTTTAGAACGTGGACAGAGGCAGTGAACATCATGGGTTGTTAACTAAGGAGCAGGAGGGAGGGGAAGTCATGGGGCTCGGTGTCTTGGTACTGAGTCAGATGGGCACTATCCAAGGCCCGATGCCCCGTCCAGGCTCCAAACGAGACCCTGATCTCAGAGAAAATGCTGGACACAATGGGCCCCTTGGTCAGAGTGCTGGGTATAGAAAGCACACGACAGATTCCCTGTCAATCCTGCTGTCTGTCTCAGTCAGCTGTAGGGCTTCTGCCTAAGAGAGACCTTTGCCACAGAGGTGGGATGGCTGCTCTTGCAGGAGCCTGCTCTGGGGTATGGACCTTTGGGAACTGCAGATTCTAACTTATCCTGCACCCAGCAGCTTAACCATCATCATCAGGGGCAGCCCATCCCAGATGCTTAATGTCTCCTGGACCCCTGAGTCCCACTTGTACCACATCCTCTTCCTTGAAGTTCTCTCAGCTTCCCAGCACAGGATTTTCTCCCTGTCCTTTAGGAAACCAGAGTTGTGGGGCTCGAATGAAGTAGAGCAAGCTGGACGCCCAGGGTTCACGCTGGATTCCGAGGCTGCTTCCTTGCTCTCCAGAGCGAAGCAAAGAACAGGAAGGGAGTAAATGCATAGAGGGGAGTAGTGAGCTGCTTCGGGGGTCTCAGGCCCACAAGGACAGAGGAAGCTCAGTTTGGATATGGGGAAGACTACTAAACACTGGCAGGGTTTGGAATTGTGTTGCCTGAAGCTGGCCCTGACCCAGACTAGGTCTCCTCCCTACCCTCCCTTTACTTTCTTACGTAGGAGAGACCCCAAAGCATCTTCTAGAAAATCAGCAAAACTGGGAGCAGAGCAGAGTAGGACAGCTGTGTGGATGTGGGGGTGGTGGGAAGAGCCTGCTCCCAAGAAAGCACTGCTGGAGGGGCCTGCTGCTGACAGTTTCCCAGGTGAGGCTACCCAAGTACTCCTATGCCCAGCAGGGTGTAGAGAGAGTACCAAACAATGTAGTCAGAAGTCTGGACTCTCTGGACTTTTATAAGTTTTTTGCTGTCTGGACTTCCAGGACGATCTTTGAGGTATCTTCTAGTTCTAGAGTTCTGTAATCCCGAGAGTTTATAATCCACTAAGGTTTTTATCTAGAACTGCATTTTCCTTTTATCTTGCCAGCAGACTCAGGTCTAGCTTGGCTAAGCATGGAACCCTCGGCTGGGACAATCCCTAGAAAGAGGAAGATACTATGAGGCTTGAGATTGAGCTCTAATTCAGCCCTGCCAGGAAACACTGGGCCACCTCAGTCTCCCATCTAGGAAATGAAGGTCTTTTCTTCCCCAGTCACTTATTTTTCTAACACCCTCTGGGCCCTTAAATCTGACCTTTGATCTGTGATGCTTATACTGGCCCATCACAGTTGGGGAGGTCATTCTAGCTACTGATGTCTCTCTGGACCTATCTTAATACCACGCAAACCCCTAGACCTGCCTTCTCCCTGCATAGCCTACACCAACTTATGCAGACAGACAAGGGATCCATGGCTGCCTGTGGTTCCTCCAGCCCAAGTCCTGGATCTCCCGCAAATAGTGGGAGGCGGTCCTTGAAGTCTGGGAGCTGCACCTCTGTGATCGTGTGAGGTTAGAGATGGAGAGGTCACTAGAGGGTAGAGGAGGAAACATGAAGACACGGGTTTGGCATCATGTGAGACCCAAGAGAAGGGAGAGTTGGGCGAGAGATAGGGAAACAGGAGATAAGAGGGTTTGGATCACAAGTAGGATGAGGAGGGGGAATAAAGCAGTGGTTACCAAATTTTACTGTGTGTCAAATCATGTGAGGAGTAGGTCTTTAAAATGCTGTTGCTGAGGTAGCATGCTAGTTGATTAATCTCTGGGGCTGGGGGTCTCGGCATCCGCATTTTAACAAGCACCTCAGTTAGTCCGGTGCACACGGAAGTTTAGAACCCACAGACCAGTGCTTGCTCTTCTGATTGTTACTCTAGGGTCTTTCAATAACCTCTCTGTCATAGAAACTATTATCTAATACTCATTTTACCATCGAGAAAATTAAAGAAAGGAGAAGTGCTGGGTGTGGTGGCCCACGCACTCCAAAGGCTGAGGCAGGAGGATCACCGTGAGTTTGAGGTCAACCTGGGCTACATAGTGAACTCAAGGCCAGCTTGAATTACAAAGTGAGATCCTGTCTCAAAAAAACAAAATAAACAAACATACAAAAAAGGGAGGTGTTGCCAGGTGTGGTGGTGCACACCTGTAATCCCAGCATTTGGGAGGCTGAGGCAGGAGGATCGTTGAAGTTTGAGACCAGCCTGGGCTACAAAGTGAGCTCAAGGCCAACCTGAGCTGCATATCGAGACCCTGTCTCAAAAAGACAAAAAAAACAAAAAGGAAAAAAAACAAACAAACAGGGGGTGGGCAAGTAATTTGTCCAGAGTCCCACAGCTAACATCAGAGGCAAAACTGAGCTCAGCATTCTGACTTCTAGTCCGATACTTTTCCCAGGGGCCAGGGAGACAGCTCAACGGCACAGTGCCTGCCTGCTTTCCCATTCACATTGCTCCTCGCTCTCCCAGTTGTGCCCCCAACTCCATCCTGAGCAGACCCTGCAGCTGGGTCAGCTCTTAATAGTTCTAGGAGAGCGAGAGCAGCAGGAGCCGGTCCAGGTGGACTGCGGAGGGCTGGGTACCCTGGGCTGGAGCTCTGTCTCGGTACCACCTACTCCCCTCCCTCTCTGCTGCTTCCCAAACATCCATCCCACAGACCACTCTTCTAGCTGATCCAAGGCCCAAGCAATCTTTCCCTGTGACATTCCCTGTTCATTCTATCTTTCCGTCATAACTCAGGCTAGTGACCTTGGGTCACTAGTGTGCTTTGTTCACTGAGGCCCTGAACCTTGTACAGTAATATTTTCTTCAGGAGCTTTTCTCTGAGGCCTCTTCTTTTTCCATGCCACCCCCCTCGCAAAGGGGTATGGAGGTGTCCTTATCCTTCAGGATTATTGGATCTTCTAATCCTAATGAAAAATATAATCCACTACTACCTCCCATTCCCCTAGTAACTTCCCTACCCATTAATTCCCCACGACTTCTCCCCGTATCCTCTGCCCCTGCTTCTCCACCCCACCCCAGCTCCACGTTGTGGTCTTTACTTTCTGAGGGCAGAATGGTTGGCGTGTGAACCACTTGGGCTTTTCCCACCTGACAGCCCTGGGTTGCACGCTCTGTGGGCTGCAGCCAGAGGAGCTACAGCACAGCAGCAGCTAAGAGTTGAGGTCACCTGTGGAGAGGTTGTGGGTGGTGGGGCCGAGGGAAAGGAGGGCTCTCTGGGGAGGGTGGGGTCATGAAATTGTCGCATGGAGGGAAGAAGCACTTTGAAGTCATTTCCTCCCCTGTGTCATGACCACAGTGCTCTATCACGAAAGCTGAATTCTTCTCCCTTTCTTCCTACTCGTCCATAGCCAAGCAGCTCTCTTCATGGTCAGCCTGTGTCCTCAGTGCTGAGGGATGGCTGCAGGCTCTGGCCCACTTCCTTGTGTTGCCTGGTAGCTTTGACTGAGATCTTCACTGAAATTGGTACAATAGCAGGTGGGGAGGCTGGGTCGCTGCAGGTGCTAGTTGCTAGGGTTTGGATTCCATAACCTAGGTGGACTGGGCAGAGGACTGTCCTGGATTTCTGAAGGTGGAAGTCTAAGGAAATATTACGTAAGGGGCTAGAGACACATTAGGGAAGGTCTGTGGTAGGATACTTTGGGAGCATGGAGGAGACATAGATTTGAAGAGGAGCTGGGCCAGTCTATGACACTTAGATGCATCTTCCTTCATCAGCTGGAAGGCAGATCTAGGCCCTGACTTTTTTTCTGTTTGTTTCTCTTTTTGAGACAGGGTTTCACTCTGCAGGGTCCAGGCTGGCCTTGCTCTCACTCTGGAGCCCAGGCTGGCCTTGAACTTGCAGTGATCCTCCTGCCTCAGCCTGGGAGTATAGGCATGTGCTGCCATGCCTGGCAGATCTGACCTCTCTTAACCATTTTTGTCATCCTGGCCCCTAAATCTGTAGGCTTTGATGGACTGGGGTCTGGGGAGACCACAAGAGAGCCAGGGGGCTACTGGATGCACCGACTGCTGTCTCTACCTCCAGGTGGTGTTCAGCCCCGCCCAGCTACGCATGGTCTCACCAGTGTTCGGCCTGTGCCCGTCACCTCTGAGTAAGTGACTCCTGAGCAGTGACAAGCTGTTGCATGGGCCCTGCGTGAGGGGAGAGTCCAGAACATCAGAGTTCCCAACGGCACAGCTTGACCCTGTCTCCTGACCCAGAATCAAAGCCCTAATTTGGTGCTGTCCGGCCCTTCGAACCCCGCCCCGGAGGAAAATCCCTCAAGTGAAGGGGCCTACAGGTAGAGAGCTGGTTTCCAAGTATCAGTGGATCCTGGGGAGCAAAACTGTGATGTTTCTTCTAGTTGTTGCCTCATTGTAGGTAAAAACTCAGCCTGAGACTTCTAGAAAACCGGCCACAACTGTCCTGAGCCCTAGCACTGACCATCAGCTTTCCTGACCACATGCCGTGAGCCTGTCTTTATAGTTAAGGGAAACGGCTGTGGAGAGAAACCTGACATCATAGTGAATAAAGTGCATCCTAATTATTCCCAGGAAGCTGGCGAAGAACATGGGTAAATGCTAATGCTTTCCACCCACCTGAGAAGCAGTTTTCCTGGCATGCTGGATCTAGAGTCTTCTTGCATCATAAAACACCCCACTGCTTCTTTTCATTTCCTGGGGGCTGCTCCTCTTCACCCCACCAATAGAAATAACACAGACAGCGGGAGCATGGCAAGGAGTCTTTACTGGGATGGAGGTCGGGGGGCAGGCCCAGGGCAAGCGGGATCATCTACCACTAAATGGGCAGAAGTCCTGGGGATCCCGATGCATCTGCCACAGATGGGGAGTTAATGTTTGTTGTGGATTAGCGGTGCAGGGATGCGGATGTCCTGGCCTCTCTCCAGACGCCGCTCACAGTCAATCAGATAGTTCACTCCATCGATGACCAGCTGTACGAGCTCCACCTGAAGGACACTAACCCTTGATCTCTGCTCCCCACAGTCTGCGTTTCTTTCTTTAGCACTGACTGATGCTCCTGCTCTGGACATTCATTTTCAGTTGCCTCCCCACCCAGCCTGAATTTCACTGCAGATTCTATTACATCCTTGCGGCTCACTGCTATCACGTCTCAGCTCCTGCAGGCCTACATCCCTCTCCACACCCTCATCCTTAGCACCTCACCTCTGACTTGCCCAGCCGATCCAAGTTGGAGATGTCAAAGATGCTGCCCGTGGCAGCAGTGTCTACTCCTCCGGTACCTCGCTTCTGCAGTCTCAGGTTCTCCAGGATCTTTGGGAATCGGCTGTCCTAGAAACCAGGATGGCAGGCAGGGTCAAGCGAGACAGAGACTTTCCTACCTGCTCAAATAATGTCTGGCCCCTTTCAAAGTGCTCTCTCCCTCTCCCTCCCCATTCATACACGGGCACCACTCTCTAACCCCAGAGTTCCCTTACTTTGCTCAGCAGGGGTAGTTTGATGTGCACTCCGGCGCGAAGTCCAGTCCCCAGGTTAGACGGACAGGTCAAGATGTATCCCAAGCGCTCATTCCACATGAACTCCCAGCCACGCTCCTGGATCAGCCGCTCCACCTGAGTCCACAAAGGTTATTAGTGAAAAATCAAGGATATGTGGACCCCTCCTTAGTTAGACCCACAGGAACTCTAGAAATAGGCCTAGAACTGGAAACCTGAGTGTGAATAATTGACACTGCTTCCTTTCCTTTCCCTTTCCCTTTCCCTTTCCCTTTCCCTTTCCCTTTCCCTTTCCCTTCCCCTTTCCCCTTTCCCCTTTCCCCTTTCCTTTCCTTTCCTTCAGTGGGAATAGTTTGCTATGGTCATGCATGCAAAGAAACTTGAGGGAGTGCTGCGTACAGAATGATCTAGGGAACTGACAGAGGGGTACGCTGAGCAGAGAAAAGATTATTCAGTGAGTTCTGTATGCACTGATTATCTCTGCTTTGCCAATTAGCAGAGGGTCCTTGCAGGCAGAAAATAAGTGTGTAAGCCTTGCAACAGGAAGAGGCAAAAGAGCCTGCTGTGAGCTGAGGAAGAACGTGAGAAAGCACAGAAATGTGAAAACAGCAGAAAAGCCAGATGCCAAGGTGTGTGCGAGAGAGCAAGAAGGGCACGGGGCGTGGGTTCCCGTTTCATTTAACCGCCCCATCAGGAAGATGACTAAAGCTGAAGAGATGGAGCACTCTGCCAGGGCACTGGGCACAGAGACCACCACCCAACATAAGCAAAGGAGCCCTGCTCATAGTTCAGAAAGAGCCATGGCATAGGGGGTTGTTACATGCTCAGCATCGGAGACTTTTTTTTTGGAGACAGGATCTTTCTGTGTAGCCCAGGCTGGCCTTGAACTCACAGTGATCGTCCTGCCTCAGCCTCCTGAGTGGAGTGCTGGGAATACAGGCACCCCGTGCCCAGCCAACTGAGACTTTCTGTGATCAGTTACCTGCATTATTTCACTTAATCCCCCCAATGACCTAAAACATAAGAATCTTATTATCTCAGATTTACAGATGAGGAAACTGAGGTATATAATTTAAAGAACACTTCCCTATTCACTCATAGCCAGAACGTTATCCATTACTTGCCAAAAATAGTACAAAGTTCTTGGCTGGAACCTAAAAGAGCTTGCTTTCTTTGCAAGTCCAAAATAGAACTGTATGTATGAGAACATGCAGTGCAGTAAGAACTGGGTTTATGGCAGTCTCTCATGTAAAAGTGACTCTGGACATGCGGTCCACACAGGATTACGGAAGCAGTTGAACCCCTCACTGAGAACCACACACCCTGAACTTGAGCCATTCTATCCTCCACCTCCCCGCTCTCTCTGCCACTCTCAGTTTAAAGCCTGGACAAAAAGCTTCAGCAGGAAACGACAGCATCGAGTCCAGGCGTACCTTGGCTCAGGACTGGGGGATGATTTTAGAAACAGGATCACATCAATCTCTCACCTCGGACATCAATACAGGCTCAAATGCTCTCTTTGTCTGCACAGCCCCTTGCATCCCGGGAAAGTGATTCACATCTCTGCTGTTCCTTCTCTGCATTATCTGACAACTGTTTACTTCCTTAGATTCCATTCTTTCTCTCTTCCTGTTCTTAGGGTGACCCGGTGTCCTGGTTTCCCAGAACACTCCTAGTTTGTACCTATTTTCCTGGAGTAATTAACAGTGACCCTTTTCCTACCAGAAAACTCGGGGATTGGTCAATGAATGACATAATCAGTGTGCCCAGGCTGCCCTTTGATTTTCTGTACTCCTCCCACCTGGCTCCCTACACACCCCTCTCCCACCTCTTTGAGGCCCCGGCAGAATCTTTCAAACACTCTCTTCATGTTGCCACCCTTCTCCATGGAGATGACCCTCGTGTGGTCCTCCTCGTTCACCCAGATCAAGAAGCTCTTCTCATTGTTGTGCCTGAGCAGAGGAGATAAAGGGATCAAGAGGGAAGAAAGATAAGAATGGGGAGAGAGAGAGGAAAAAAAAATCATTTTTTGTGGCATGGAGGATAAAAGAGGTGAGGAGCAGCTTCGTACCAGATCCCACGAGCATCTGGCCAGTCTCGAGCCATTCCTGCTGCAGTCAGCAGCGGGGACACGGGCTTATCAAACAGGAAGTGGTCCTGGGGAAAGCAAAGCAGCTGGGTTTAAGAACCATCATGGTGGCCCCAGCCTCTCTTCCCAGCCTCCTCTCTGGCCCTGCCCCCCGCTGCCTCTCCAGGACCCTCACATCAATAAGCTGCTGCTGTTCAGCCTCCGTCATCTCACTGAGCCTGTAGTAACGTCCAACCAGGTCACCCTTCAGGCCACTCAGCGCGTCCACCACGACACGTTCCACTTCTCGCCGCTCGGCCCGGGAGCACGCTGGAGGCAGACTCAGTCCTCGGATACTTCGGCCAGTTCTGACTCTTGAGGACAATACATACCGCTCATCAAAGTAACCAGAACGGATCTGAGCGATGAGGAAAATGAATGCAAGTCACAGAAACACAGCGGGGAAAGGAGAGATCGTAGGGATGAGAGGGCTCCGTGCTGGAACCAGCGGCCCGCTGGGCAAGCACTCAACTGAAAGGGCACTGGGACCCCTCCCCACACGTCCCACGCTACAGCACGGTCATTTCCTTCCACCCTGTCATCTCCATCTCTGTCATTCCTTAAGACAGGATTCTTCTCCCACTTCAGGATTAAACATTCAGCAGAAAAATGACCAAGAACCAGGAAATAAGGTGCAGGCAGGCATTGGAAATGCAGAATGGAGTCCACCAGGCAACACAACCTAGAAGCAGGATATGGAGCCCACCTTACTAGCATCCAGGTCTGTGGTGTGCTTCATGGTCCGGGGGTCATATCCATTGTGTCGCTCTTGAATCACAGGGTCGAATAGCTCAGCAAATACCTGAAAGGGAGTTAAGAGACAGGGAGAGGTGATTACAGAGAAGAAATCTTCCTGACACTTCAATTATGGATTGGTTTCACTGGGTCAGAAAAATCGCATGTGGATGGTCTAGTCTTGAGGGAGTATAAGGGGGTCTTTCAGGAGAAGGAACAGGGATTACTGGGAAGGCGACTTGGGTCAGTAGGGAAAGTCTGGGTGCCCCTACCTCATAGGTCTCCTCATCTCCAGCCACCATGCCCACAGTCTTGATGAAGGGGTGCCCGGGGTTGTCCACTCCAGTCTGGATGCACTGATCTAGCGTCCAACCGGTAGGTGTGGTCTTGTCGCAGAGCCGTGCATAGACTGCTGGGGTCAGGTGACTGGCCATGCAGTTGTTGTGCTTTCGGAGGTCCGGGTACTCAGCGCTGGGGAGGGGGGTGCCCAGTAACCATAGAGAGCGGGCACTGAGACGGAGACCCAGTGTGGCCAGCTGGGAGCCGTCCAATTAGCCCGTGTCTGATTTTGCTCCTCGGGAGGAGGGGGAATTAGAGGTAGGCTTAGCCTTGCTAATCTCTTTAGGGACTTTCAGGGTCCGCTCTTTCTCAGCAGTTCTAGCTGCCTGTGGCTGGCTGACTCAGTTCTCCCAGACACGCACAGTTCTTTCCTCCCATAAACACGTTAGGGAGGGGGGAGGGGACAGGCTAAGAATTCAGGAAATAGAGGAGAACAGCAGGGAAAAGAGCTGGAGGGCAAAAGGAGCCCCTGGCTTTCGGATTACGGATTTGAGAAGTGGGTGCGACTACAATTCCTAGGGTCAGCGGTGGTCTTGGTGACGGTGGGCTGCGGATGCCCAGAAAGGCTCTTACTTGAGGGGCCTGGGCCCGTTCCCACCCTCCCGAAGTCTCCAGGACCCCCGTAATAAGAGCCCTTGTCCGTGGCACAGGTGCCCCTCTCTGCCCCCCTCGTTCCCATCATACCACCCCGCTGCACCCCTGCCCGGGGCTGATACCTTGGAGGATATAGTCTCCGGCGCTGGCGCTGCTGGCGAGCGGCCCGCACAGGTTCCGGGCGGAGCAGAAACCCAGCGACTAGGGACCCAGCGCCGGCCACAGCCAGGAGCCTGAGCCCCTGGCGGGCGGATGGCAGACGGGAGAAGACACCAGCCATGGCTTTCCGGAGCAGGACCTGGCGACAGACGGTTTCGGGAGGGAGGATGCAGTCGGGTCGGCGGAGGGCCGGAGCCGAGCCAAGGCTGAAGCCAAAATGGGGATCCGGATGGAGCTGAGGCCGGAGCGGGCGCCGGTGCCGGCGGTGAGGGGTGCAGGGGTGCAGGCGAGGCGCGGCGCGCTGGCGGCGGCGGGAGGAGGCCG